TCGGGCGAGGACTGACGCCTTATACAAAAAAACCACTCTAAAAAAAAAAAAAAAAAAGCCTGCCAATTTTACAGTCATTTGTTACAACAGCCATAATAAAATCATACAATATCATATTGTATAAATGTGATTGTATATATGTATAAAATTTTGCATCCTCATTTATTTTCTTGTCTACATCATGAGTGCTCTCCTATTATAATTAAACATCTTTGTAAAATATGATTATTTTGTAATTTGCCAGTGGGCACTCACCAGACAGAGAAAGGGAAAGGCAGAAAGCACTCCCCCATGGAGAGTCATCATGCCACAATCTCTTCTCTTCCACTTCTCCATCCTTTTGGAATTTTGGACACGCATGCACCCAGCATGTTTTTTAAGCCACTGGGTCTGGGATTCAAACTGCACAGTCAGCTATGTGGGCCCAGGCCCCCTTAATCACTAGGCTACCGTGTCAGCTCTGAAACATGATTTTTGATACCTCCCAAGGAAATATAAACAAGCTATTTTGCTACTGTTGGGAACATGATACACTTCCAATTTTCTCTGTATATAGCAATGAACATCATTATACATAAATAATTGTCTTTTCTTTTCCCCCTAGTTCTTTAGGAGAGATTTCCACATGCTGAATCACTTGATTTAAGGGTAGGAACAAATTCTAGGCTTTATAAGAAAGCTAGGAAGGTTTGTTTTTATCCATAAAATAGTCATTCTCAGAACTACTGTATCTCCTCACACCCTACCTTTTTATCCATATGTGCACAGGCTTTTCCATGGTGCCAATTCTGCCTACCCAATTTTGTGACCAACTTTCTTCACTTAGAATTGGATCATGAACACTGTTTCATTCTCCAATAGAAGCAGCAACAGCAGCTGCTATTTGCGGAGCACGAAGCATGTACCAGTCGTTGCACTACACGCTTTACCTCTGGCCTTATGGCCGCCAGGGCCAGTTCTGTGGGAGAGGGGGATGGTCCGAGGCCTGGACAACAAAGCACCTCTGCCCGGTGATAAACAGCCAGTACAGGACGGCGTGTGTACTTGGCGCTAACTGCAAACCACTAAAGCACCCTGCCTTACAGAACGAGGGGACTCTACCTTTTTCAAAACAAACATGTTCAAAACTGCTCGATATTCCAGGGTTTGGAGAAAGCTGAGTCTCTACTGCCAAATCTGGCTTCCAAACCAAGAGCTGAAACAAACCCCTTTGGGAATGTGACAAAGTTTCTGAAATTTCCTTCTGAAGCAGGCGAGACTCCATCTTGGAGGAACTGCCTCCATAATAAATTGTTAAATTTCTATGACTAGAAACTTGCCTTCTCCTCCTTTGCCTAAGAGTAACCAGAGTGATTAACACTCCTATTGTCTTTAAACCCCACTCCTCCTGATATGGAGAGACCCTGAATTCATGAATAATTCAGGGCTGCTAGCTGTCTAAGGTTTCTGCCCTCCAGCAAACTTACTGCCCCTCCCTGGAGCTATGGGGTAACCTGAAAACCTTGGGTGGATTAGTACTTTGAGTGGATTAGTACCTTGAACAGATTAGTCTTCCTGCTTCTCTGCCTCCTTCCTTTAACACTGCATAGGGTGGGTTCTGAACCTGAGACCTCCCCTTCCCTAATTCCCCCATAAAAGACCGGTGTCCAACCCCCCCAATGGAGGCCGGAGACTTAGAGTACTAACTCCTCTGCAAATAAACTGCTCTCCTAATCTCTTTGAGTGCTGCTTTCCATTCCTTGGTGTCTGGTTTTCTGCAACACTTCCAGAAGACTGCAAATACACGCATCTCCAGAAAGGAGGCCCGAGGTTAGTATGTTTTCTCTAATATTTCAATTTAGCTTAACTAGGATCAACCACATTCTTTCTCTGAGCCATGACCTGGGCTAGGCTATGAGCTGCCAGGTAGAGGCAACAAGAACTTGTCCCTACAGGGCTTCCAGTCCAATAGGCAGGATAAAGAGGGGACGAGATCATCAATGAATGACCATGACCATAGGGCAAATCACTCGACCAGACCATGCTAGGCCTTGCATTCCTCCCAGATAAAATAAGCCAAGCCAGGGAAGTACCCAGGGTACCTGGGTGTTTGGGGTAACTGGAGATAAGGGGGGGAAAGTTCTGACCACAATGCCCAGCTCAACCATGCTGTGCTAAACAGTTAACTTCTTGGAAGAGAACATTTATGTTGCTTCCTCTTTTCCTTTTCTGTCAACATCATCTAGACGTACACATATATAGAAAAGTGAATTCAAGCTACCCTTTGGGATCCTTCAGTATAAACTACCCAGGAATGACTGAAACACCACCAACTGGGCGGTTAACTCAGGATTACCTTCTGTCTCAGTCCCTCAAAGTCAAACTAACCTTCCCAAACACGTCAGATCGGTCTAAACCACACACTGTACAGGACAGCCTTCTTTCTACTCTCTGCCTCTCCGAAAGCAGGGGGCAGAATTAGGGGAGAACATTGCCCTAGGCCAGCTGGCCATTGAAGTATTTTGAAACACCCCCATACAACCATCTGTATATCAGCATGTTTCAAATCAAGTGATTCTCACCTGCCCTCTGTCTGTCTCAAAAATGTAATCACCTCCATCTGACCTTGAATGCACATAAACACCTCCCAGTGTGTTTTCACCTTTGATTTTGCAAATTGCTTACTGCTACAGAATCCTTTTAAAGCTTGTCAGAGAGATGCTGATGATGATAAGAATTATCTCAACAGGGTTCCACTTGCACTGCCAGAATTAATGTGATCTATTTAAAGCACAGCTCACCTGCCAATTAACATATGCAGTGTCCATAATTTAATTTGTGAGCATGTACTTTGAAACGTGGGGTTAATTCCAAAAACCGGTAAGGGCTTCTGGATCTCCCAAGGCCTGAAAGTAAACTGCCAATAAGAACAACAACCAGAAAGCGGGTGTTGAGGTAAATTAACCAGGAACACTTGTTACTAGAGGGTGACTGATACCAGCAGGTTCCTGGCAAAGTTTCTAACAGGTCTTAACCTGCAATGATGTTAAGAATTCATACATTGGAGACCACAAGGAAAACAAAAACCCTGGCTCACATTCCAGTTTGGGCATCGTATGACCTTGGGTTACTTATTTTGTCTTCTGTTTTCCTCATCTGTAAAAGGATGAGAACAGTTCCTATCTCTAAGTGCTATGAAGAAAAACTGATGAATATGTGCGAAGTGCACCCAGTACTTGTTAGCCATAACTATGAACGTACCTGGCATATAGTCGGTGGTGCATGAAATAGAGCTATTAATATCATGATTACACAAGAACCAAAAGCCAGGCTCTACAGCTGGCAAACAGGTTCCGTCCCCTTTTGTCTGAAGACAGCACCCCTCTGTCCTATGGAAGTGGGCTCCATTTGGTTCCTCCCTGCAGCACTTCCCCAGCCTTTGCCTCTGCCAAAGGGCAGGCAACCTGGCTGGGCAATCGCCTGGCCACAGTAGGACAAGCGCCTCTTCTCCTGTTGGTTAATATTTTGTCCATCAAGAATATTTTGGCATGGGACTAGCAGATGGTGTAATGTTTACATCACTGGACTCCCATGTGGTCGACCGCAGCTCAATTCCCAGACCCTGCAGCTAGAAACTCATGTTGGGTGCACATGCCCAAGATCCCAAGAGAAGGGATTGTGGTGGTGGTGGGGGTGGGTGGGTAATTTCTTGCTTTCTGTCTGTCTCTCCAGCAAGCATATGCACCCTACAGCAAAACTCTTAAATAAATAAATAAATATATATATATACACACACACACACACACACACACACACAGAGAGACATTCATTTTTTTAAAGAATTGTATTTATTATCATTATTATTTAATTTGTTATAGGGTACGTGCTTATTTAATTTGCTATAGGGTACGTGCACTCATCAGAAAGAAACTTAACGTGAGAAAGCAAGCCGCCAGGTCCAGGATTCAAACTATAGTCAGCCATGTGGGAGTCCAGTGCCTTAACCACCATGCCATCTGCTAGTCCCTGGCATCAGTTTTTTAATATTACATGAATGGGAGGTTGGCAGGTGGTGTGGTGGTTAAGGGTGCTAGACTCCCACATGGGCGACTGTGGTTCAAGTCCCAAACC